TGGTCAGAACAATTTCGGGAGGCAACCAATGGATGTGTTTTCTCTTACATTGATGCTTCTCTCTCTCCCTCTCTCGCCCCTCCCCCCTCTCCACTCTCAAAAAATCAATGGAAAAAGTATCCTCAGATGAGGATTAACAATAACAGCAACAAAAGAGTTCTGGAGATTACAGTACAATGTAAATGTACTTAACACTGCTGAGCTGTACACTTAAAAATGACTAAGATGGTAATTTTGTGTTATGTATATTTTACCAAAATTAAAAATAAAAATAAAAAAGATGTGTATCTAGAAAATATGAAGAATTCTCAAAAGTATATTTCAGTGAGAAAACAAGCAACTCAATTAAGATTGGGAAATAGTTTTGAACAGGTAACTTCCCCAAAGAAGATATATAGATGGCAAACACATGAAAACACACTCAACATCATTAGTCTTTGAGGAAATGCATATTAGAACAATGATAAGATACCACTACTAGAATGTCTAAAATTAAAAAGACTGACCATACTAAGTGTTGATAAAGATATGTTACAACGGAAACTCTCATACACTTCTGGTATGGGTATAAAGCGATAGAAGCATTTTAGAAAATGGTTTAGCTACTTTTCAAAAATTTTAAATACATCCAGCCATTCAACTCCAAGAGAAATGAAAGCCTGTATCCATGTAAAGACTTGTGCACAAATATTCATAGCAGCTTTATTGTAATAACCCCAAACTGGAAACAATCCAAGTGTGCAAAGGACAAACTATGGTCCCTCTGAACGATGGGATCTGCACAGCAATAAAAAGGAATGATGCGTCACAACACGCACTGATCGCAAAATAATTATGCTGAGTAAGAGGAGACAGATAAAAGCAAGTACGCAGTGTGCGTTTCCCTTTATGTACAATTAATTCTTTAAAAAAAATCCCATTGTATCCAGGTTGGTAAGATTTCATATTTACTTATTTATTTATTTTTAATATATATATATATATTTTTAAAAAATATATTTTATTGATTTTTTACAGAGAGGAAGGGAGAGAGAGAGTTAGAAACATTGATGAGAGAGAAACGTCAATCAGCTGCCTCCTGCACATCTCCCACTGGGGATTGTGCCCGCAACCCAGGTACATGCCCCTGACCGGAACCGAACCCGGGACCCTTCAGTCCGCAGGCCGACGCTCTATCCACTGAGCCAAACCGGTTTCGGCTAATATATATATATTTTTTATTGATTTCAGAGAGGGAGAGGGAGAGTTAGAAACCTCAGGGATGAGTATCATTGATTGGCTGCCTCCTGCACGCCCTCTACTGGGGATCGAGCCTGCAACCTGGGCATGTGCCCTTTGACCAGATGAAACCCGGGATCCTCAGGCTGATGCTCTATCCACTGAGCCAAACCGGCTAGGGCTCTATTGTTCTTTTACAGTACATTTCATGTTCATGCAACCCAAAAGCCACAGAAACACTGAATTGTAGTCCCGTTTTCCACCCAATATTTCTTGAAGCATCTGCTCCGTGCGATCGATTACTGCTGTAGGGGTGGAAGATTTCGTAGTGAAATTACCCGTATAGTTCAGCAGGGAGAGTACATTCCTGGAACAAGGACACAATCGTTTATTGCGGATGAGGACCGTGTAAGGAGGGAGACGGTGACAGGTATATGGCGTAGATGGAAACGGAGGCCCAGGGAAGCGCCGGGAAGAACCTTAGGGCACACGGTCGGCGCCCTCAACCTTGGCCACGGGATCCGCGGGCTGGATAGGGGTGGGGCGTGGCCTAGGGGAGGGGGCGTGGCCACCGGGAAAGGGGGCGGCACGTGAACGGGGGCGGAGCGGCACGGAACACGCACGCGGGCGGCTGCGTTTCCGGCCGGAGGCCTATGCTGAGCGCCCCGCGTCCTGGGGGCGGCGGAGGCGGCGGGGGGATCCGGAAGTCAACACCATGTCGAGTCTGCACAAGAGCCGGTAAGGGGCCGCGGGCCCACCCGGCCGGGCCACCCCTGGCCAGGCCACCACTCCTGCCCCGCGGAGGGCGCGCGGATGCGGCCGGGCACCCGCAGTCCCCGGGGAGGAGGGGGTTCGGGCGCCCACCTCCGAGCCTCATCGCCTGTGGACCTTGAACCGGCCACGGAGGGAAGGGCACTGCTTCGTGCCCCCCCCGGGGGGGCACCGCTTGGCTGTCCTCCCCGCCGCTGGGGATTCCTTTCTTCCCCCTGGGGTCTTCCTCATTTCAGGGGCCTCCCGTGCCCCAGTTTCCCTCAGGGCCCCTCCCCCC